TGGTGGTGACGATGGATGCCAGCCTTCAGCATTGGGGGGCTCATTGTCTGGGTCAAGTAGCACAGGGCACATGGAGCAGCAACGACGCCCATCGGCCCATCAACTGGCTGGAACTGCGGTCTACCTGGTGCTTCAAGCTTTTCAACACCTTATCTCCAGCTCTCACATCCTAGTCCTCATGGACAATATTATGGCGAAGGCCCATATCAATCATCTAGGGGGCACACGATCCCAATCCCTGATGTTGGAGGCGTTGAGATTGGGCCTCTGGTCGGAGACTCACCTCGGCTCATTGCGCGTGGAACACATTTCCGGCATCGCCAATGTACAGGCAGATTGGCGAAGCCGTCAGCGACTGGATCATGCAGAGTGGCGTCTTCACCCTCACATCTTCCGACAGGTTGCTGCACACTTCGGGACTCCGGTGATCGACCTCTTTGCCACACCGGACAATGCTCAGCTTCCGTGCTTCATTCCGCGCGGTACCCATCACCAAATGCGGAGGCCACCAATGCCCTTTGCTCCCTGTGGCCACCGGGGCTGCTCTATGCGTTTCTTCTGGTCTCCCTGCTCTCCCGGGTGATTCGCAAGTTGTTGCTGGAGCAAGCGGAGCTCATCCTTCTGGCCCCACATTGGCCACGCAGGCCTTGGTTTGTCACTGTCAGTAGACCCTCCTTGGCAGCTTCCTCAATGGGAGGACACCCTGACTCAAGGGGCATTGAGACACTCGGACCTGCAGTGGCTCCATCTGACCACTTGGCAGTTGAGCGGTGTGCCCTAGGAGATGCCAACATTCCGGCAGATGTGATCCGGACCATTCAGGCTTCACGGAGGCCTTCTACAGACCGAATTTACTCGGCCACCTGGCGGGCCTTTTGTACATGGTGTGATCGGAACGGGGTTCAACCCCTCCAGGCCTGGATTGTCAATATACTGGTTTTCCTTCAAGAAGGCCTCTCCAGGGGGCTTTCTCCTAATACATTGCGGAGACAGGTGGCAGCGATCTCATCGATACTTACCTGCAGATCTTTGTCTTCCTTGGCCCAGCACCCCTTGATTCACTGGTTCCTGCGGGCACTACCAATCTATGCCCTCCTGCTCTACATAGGTACCCTTAGTCCATAGTTATTAATTCTCTTACAGGTGCCCCATACGAGCCCTTGCGGATGGCTAGCCTGCGGCTATTAATGTGCAAAGTTGCCTTTTTGGTAGCTATTACCTTGGCTCGCTGCATCTCAGAGATTGCCGTCCTCTCCATCCGGAATGACCTCTGTGTGTTCCACACGGATTGTGTGGTACTCCGATTGGACCCTACATTTGTGCCAAAGGTCAGTACGACCTTCCACCACATGCAGGAACTTATCCTGCCCAACTTTTGCCCTCACCTGGCTCACCGGCTCGAATGGCAGTGGCATTCTTTGGATGTCCGGAGGGCACTACATGTTTACATTAAGCGGACAGCGGACTTCCGCAGAACAGAATCTTTCTTTGTCTCCTTCCTGCTGGTTTCTCTAGGTTGCAAGGTGTCGTCGACAACCATTGGAAGTTGGATCCGGCAGACGATAGCCACGGCCCACGAACTACATTCCCTACCGAGACTTCCTCAACTGACTGCGCATTCTACCTGCAGTGCTGTGACATCAGCGGCTTGGACCACGCAGGCCTCATTGCTCGAAATCTGCAGGGCGGCGACATGGACTTAGCCTTTTCCCTTCATCCAGCACTATAAACTGGACAAGTTTGCTTCGGCAGATGCCGCTTTTGGTCATAGGGTGCTGCAACGGGTTCTTTGGGGGAGGGTTCTTCGGACCAGCCTGGTCCCCCCCAACTGTAGGGACAATGATCTTTGGTATGTCCAATCCTGGCTGCTGTCTCCACCCACAGTGGAGAAGGGGCGTTGGTCCTACCTGAGACCCATCTTCTCGTTGGGTGGAGACAGCAGCCAGACCCTCCCTTTGCCAATCTGGTCTCTATCTCTCTATCCATTCTTTCCTTTCTTGCTTGGTCTCCCACATGTCAAGCCTGTCTTCTTGTCTTCACCAAAAGCTGGGTCTACCCAGTAACAAGGGCGGGACTTAACAACTATGACAGGCTTAGTCTTTCAACCTGAACAGACGAGCACACCCCCATCCTGGCTGCTGTCTCCACCTAATGAGAAGGTGCGTCTCAGGTAGGACCAACGCCCCTTTTAGAGAACTTCTGGAAAAGAATTAAGGGTTTTTTTTTACATATCCCCCAGTTTAGGCAGAATTTTTACTATAGGATTGTGCATATCTTCTCTTGATCATACACATATGGCTTTTTAAAGGTGTTTTTTTTTTTAAATTAAGGGTTCTTAGGAAAAAGTTTTGCCAAAGATACATATAGATCCTGACAGCAGAGAATATTTGTAACTCAGAGTTGAACTGTTGAATCCTTGCTAGCACTGATGATGTTACTGGTAACATGGTAATGAAATGTCTACACAGAAAACATCAAGGAGTCCATGATACATATAGATATATAAATATGTGATATATAAATATGTGAAACTGCAGAAATACAATTTAAAAGTTTGTTTTAAAAGGATTTGTGGTCCATAATACAGTTATTTCCTACACAAACTATTACATTACATAGTTTAATTAGATAAAACTAATGGACCTAGAGTTCTTACTTAAGGCACAAATAGATCAGACTTGAATTATCCTACATCAGACACATATACAGGCATAACTCTCTTGAGAACGCTATAATACTGGGAAAGATAGAAGGAAAGAGAAGGACAGCCAACAGCAAGGCAAATTGACTTGATTTGAGTAGCAATTGGTATACTTTTGTAAGTCTTGAAGGATCAGACTATAGACAAATCATCTAGGAGAAAATTTATTTGGTTTCAGAAGGCAATCTTGGCAGTATGTTCAGAATATGAGAGGACAAGTCTTAATTTTATTTTTTTATTAATTTTATTTTACAACATTTAGAAATATTCTAGTTGTGATTTCTTTTAGCTAGAAGCATATTATTTAAGACAGTAAAATTTATTTTACTTTATTTATTTATTTATTTTATTTATTGGTTCGATTTATATGCCGCCCTTCTCCGGAGACTCAGGGCGGCTTACAATGCGTTAAGCAATAGCCTTCATACTTTTGTATATACCTGCTTAGTAGGGCTTTCGCCCCCCCCCTAAGCTGTGTTCTTTTTTTATACAAAGTCAGCTTATTGCCCCCACAATCCGGGTCCTCACTTTACCTACCTCAGAAGGATGGAAGGCTGAGTCAACCTTGAGCCTGGTGAAATTTGAACTCGTAGTAATTGCAGGCAGCTGGCAGCTAAGTGCTACTTAACAGCACTTTAGTCCGCTGCACCACCAAGGCTCAAAATGTCAATATAAACCCTGAATACTATCAAAATTAATTCTTTCAATGTAATAAATGGCAGGCAATGGTAATTACATACCAGAATATCTGTTATTCCCTGACTAAGTAATTTTGTATGCATTTTAATAACAATAAAATTATATTGCAGCGTCTACTCTGAAATTGCTGCAGCTAGACAGAGTGACCACTCAAAGGTGACAAAGGGAAAATAAAGAAATAATGCTTTTCATATGATTTTTCACTCTTAAACAGATGATTAGCTAGTTGAAATAATGTGGCTGACTTCCTCTGTTTGACATTAGGACTGAACTTCTGATAATGAGAAGCAAGTTCTAATAACACATCTGTAGTTTCAAATGTCCCGGTGCCTGGAGGCCGTGCGGATCTGCATGGGGAGAAACAGACTCCGACTCAACCCCTCCAAGACTGAGTGGCTGTGGCTTCCGGCGTCCCGATATAGCCAGCTGGTGCCATCGCTGGCTATTGGGGGTGAGTCATTGGCCCCCACGGAGAGGGCTCACAACTTGGGTGTCCTCCTGGACGTGCGGCTGTCTTTAGAAGAGCATATGACGGCCGTGGCCAGGGGGGCTTTTTATCAGGTTTGCCTGATCTGCCAGTTGCGTCCATTTCTGGATCGGGACTCCCTGCGCACGGTCACTCATGCCCTCGTCACTTCCCGACTGGACTACTGCAATGCTCTCTACATGGGGCTCCCCTTGAAGAGCATCCGGAGGCTCCAGCTGGTCCAAAATGCGGCCGCTTGGGTGATTATGGGAGCGGCGGGGTGCTCCCATGTAACTCCTCTCCTGCGCGAGCTGCATTGGCTCCCAGTGGTCTTCCGGGTGCGATTCAAGGTGTTGATTCACATCTTTAAAGCGCTCCATGGCTTAGGACCTGGGTACTTACGGGACCGCCTTCTGCTACCGACAGCCTCCCACTGTCCAGTAGATCCCACAGGGCGGGGCTCCTCGGGGTGCCGTTGGTCAGACAACGTTGACTGGCTACACCCCCCCGGGGGACAGCCTTCTCAGTGGGGGCTCCTGCCCTCTGGAACAAGCTGCCCCGGAGGTACGGAGGATCCCGGACTTTCGCACCTTCCGCCGTGCCCTGAGGACTTTCTTATTTCAGCAAGCCGGGCTAGCCTAATTTTAATGGTTTTAAATTTTAAATTGGATTTTAATGGGATGTTTTTAATTGTGGGCCAAAGTATTTAATCTGGTTTTAAATTGTTTTTAATTTTTATATTTATGTATTTGATCTTAGCTGTTAAGGCCCTGAGTCCTTTGGGAGAAGGGCGGTATATAAATATAACAAACAAACAAACAAACAAAATGTAAGAAGGATAGAGGAAATGAAGTACCACCATTATAACATGAAATATTATCTTTTTCCCGACAGCTTCATTGTTTTAACATAAAACCTAAGGAAGGTATTCTGGTCAATAAAGCTTTCTGATTCTGTACTATAAAACAATAAAACAAATTTAGATTCATGCCAAATTTTGTTAACACAGTTAAATTGCTGGGACAGTAGTAATTTTCAAGAGAGAAGAGAACAGAAGTAGTCTTGCATGTTCTTATAGCAATTTCATGAATTATTCATGAAATGAATAATTCAGTGATGTCATAATGTTTTCCATTTTTCACTCAAGTAAAAAATGGTATGTGAACATCAGCAAGCTATAGCTGCCTAAAGACAGTCAAAACCTTTCCTAGGATTAAAGGATTAAAAAGACCAAAATGAACTTTTTGGGGGCCAGACATGATGATCAAGAGATGATATAGCAAAGAGAGAGACTTTATAGTCTCTATATAGAGGGACTTTTTGATTTATAGACTATAGCTTGGCCTTTAATACCATCTTATCAGGAATTCTCATTGAAAAGCTGATTGACCTGAATTTCCTTCTCCTCATTTGTGACTGGGTCAAAGACTTCCTGATGGATTGTGCACAAATAGTAAGGGTTGGGTCTCTGACATCTTCCACCCTGAAGCTCAGCACAGGCTCCCCTCAGGGCTGCATGCTCAGCCCCTTCCTGTACTCGCTGTACACATATGACTGCATATCCTTGAATCCATCTAACGTCATAATAATGTTTGCAGATGACACAACGGCATTGGGGCTTATAACTGGAGGGGAAGAAGTCCAGAAGGTGGATCCATATGCTGTTCAAAAAACAACTTACATCTAAATACTAGCAAGACAAAGGAGATGGAACGTTGGTCTTACCTGCTACGATCCTTCTTGTTGAGTGGTGGCAGCATCCAGGAAAGGGTTGTCCTTGTACGCTAGCGAATGGGACTGAGACTGTCAAGTTGCGAGGACATGCCTCCACCAACGGTCCCCAGCTTTGTCGAAGGAATAGCGACAGTCTTGACGTGTGTTGACTCAGAAACAAGTAAGAAACAGTTAAAAAACAAACAAACAACAGAGCCAACCACCAACCAGCGGACCAGGGCCAGCTCCGAAACAGGGTGGGGCTGGATGCTGTCACCACTCAACGAGAAGGATCGTATCAAGTAAGACCAATGTTCCTTCTCCATTGTAGTGGTGGCAGCATCCAGGAAAGGGACATACCAAAGCAGTGCTGTCCTTACGGGTGGGCAGGAGCCCGGCCCTAGGTCCCCCTATCAGTGTGCACCCACTGGAGGACCCGCCTCCCAAAGGCCGCCTCTGCAGAGGTATAGGCATCAACTTTATAGTGCCTGATAAAGGGGGACAGGGAGGACCAGATAGCAGACAAACCTCCTCCAGAGAGGCCTGAGTGGCCCATGCTGCACTTGTTGCCGCACTCCGGGTGGAGTGTGCTGTAATCCTCTTGGGCAGTGGAAGGGCCTATATCTCATAAGATTTGGCAATACACACCCAAATCCAACGGCCCAGGGTCAAAGGATGATCTTGGCCCCAAGGAGGCCAGTTGAAATGAAACAAAAAAAGACTCCATCTTTCGGAATGAAGAAGTCCGCTTTATATAAATCCGGAGTGCCCTCCGCACGTCTAATGTGTGCCACTTTGGTTCCAGTGCATGCACCGGATTGGGACAAAAGTTAGGGAGTACCAGCTCCTGGGCCCTGTGAAACCATGAATTAACCTTTGGTAGAAAGGAAGGGTCCAAACATAACACCACCCGGTTGGTATGAAAGACACACAAACCTGGTCGGACAGATAGAGATGCCAGTTCTGAGATTCTTCTGGCAGAGGTTATGGCGACCAGAAATGACACTTTGAATGACAGATATCTCAAAGGGGTGTCTCGCAGGGGCTCAAAGGGGTCCTCCATCAGAGTCTGTAGCACCTTGACAAGGTCCCAGGTCGGGAATCGGTGCACCACTGGAGGCCGGAGATTCACCGCGCCCTTAAGAAACCTCCGAATGTTCTTGTGACGAGCCAAAGAATCCAGCCCCCTACAGGAGAAGACAGAAAACAGCGCCGCCACCTGGCGCTGGTGTGTTAGGCGAGAGCCCCTGGTTCAGACCCACTTGCAGAAAGTGAAGAATCTGGGGCACAGTCACCTGAGTTGGGTCAAGTCCCGACTTATTACACCAAGAGCAGAAGGCACGCCAAGTGGCATCGTAAATTCTGTTGGTTGAAGCCCTCCAGGAGGCTTGGATGGTGTCAATGACCTCAGAGGGATAGTTGTCCCGGCTCAGAGCCCGCCGCTCAAATGCCAGGCGGTCAATTGGAGCCACTGAGGATCCGGGTGGACCAATGACCCCTGGGTGAGGAAAACTCTGTCCGGCGGTATCCTCCAAGGTCTGGCCACTGAAAGTGCCACCAAGTCGGCAAACCAAGGCCGTCAAGGCCAGTGTGGAGTGACCAGGATCACCTCTGCCCACTCTGCAAGAATCTTCCTTACCACCTTCTGTAGGAGGGGCAGCGTTGGGAAGGCGTAGAGCAGCTCTGCCGGCCAAGGGCTGCGAAGCACGCCAATACTCTCTGCTCCCGGAACTGCAAACCTTGAATCTGTCCAGGTGAGCGTTGTCCGGGGAGGCGAAGAGGTCCACTTTCGGTCGACTGAAACGCTCCATCAGCTCCTGAAACAAATCCGGATGCAGACACCTCTCTGCGTGGTCAATGGTGGCCCTGCTAAGCCCTGCCTGAACATTGGCCGTTCCTGCAATGTGCTCTGCTCGTAAGGAGATCTGGAGCTACTCTGCCCAGAGACAGAGCCGCTCAGCCTCGTCCATAAGGATCCTGGACTGAGTGCCACCTTGCCTGTTAATGTGGGCTTTGGCGGCCACATTGTCCATGAGAACTAGAATAGGCCTACCAACCACCAGATCCTGGAACTCCTGAAGGGCCAGATGGACCGCCCTAAGTTCTAACCAATTAATATTATGGGCCAACTCTGGCTGGGACCACCTGCCCTGGGCCACCCTCTCCCGTAGGTGGGCTCCCCAGCCATAAAGACTGGCATTGGTTGTCACTGTCAGCCTCTCCGGGTCTCGAAACGTGCAACTCTTGGTAATCGCCTGGGAGACCCACCATTCTAGGGAACATAAAACACCTTAGGGGGCACACTAACTTTGTAGAGGGATGAACCAGTGCCTGCCCTCTGATAAGGGAGGAGAAACCACTGAAGAGGCCTAGCGTGTAACCGTGCCCATGGTACAATTGAAATGCAGAACACCATCTTGCCCAGAAGCTTCGACAGCGTAGCCAAGGGCACAACATGTGCCCTAGACACGAGGAGGACCAGGTCCACCAAGCTCGCTTGACGCTCCTGGGACAGATACACCCTGCACTCAATAGTATCAATCTCTGCCCCCAGATGAAGAAGTCGAGTGGTAGGAGTTAAATCACTCCTTTTTAGATTAACAGAAAACCCGTGCTCCTGAAGCACTCGCATGGTGACCTTAAGATCGACACATGCTTGCTCGTGAGAAGAGGATTGTATAAGAATGTCATCCAGATAGCACGGGACAAGCACGGGACAAGCTCACAGATGGGCAGCTAAAGGTGCCAACACTTTTGTGAAAACCCTTGGCACTGACGACAGCCCAAAGGGCAAGGCCCTATACTCATAATGTCGGCCTGAGTAACAGAACTGAAGATACTTCCTGTGACATGGCAAAATGGGGATGTGCAAGTAAGCCTTGGTCAGATCGATTGAAGTGAGGAAGTCGCTCTCCCTGACGCCGTCTAAGATGGATTTAAGGGAATGCATCTTGAACCGCTTGTAGTGATGTAGCGGTTCAGTCTTTTGAGGTCCAGAATAACTCTATACCCCCCTCCCCCGAGCTTTTGGAATCATAAAGAGGATGGAATAATATCCCATCCTGTGCTCAGACTCAGGAACTGGCTGAACAGCATGGATGTCCAAGGTGCTGAATAGCAGTTTCCATGAGATTCCGTTTAACCGGATTACCCGAAACCGGGCAAGAGATGAAAAACCTCGGGGGAGTGGAGAGGAACTCCAAGGAGAGGCCCGAGCAGACCATCTCCAAGACCCATGCATCTGTCGTGATACCCTCCCAACACCCAGCAAATAAGGCCAGGCGTCCCCCAATGGGAGGGTTCGTGAGGCAACTAACGTTGGCATCGGTAAGGACGGCTCCCTCCCCCTTGAAAGAGCTGCCTAGATGGCAACTGCCTGAACTTCCCAGCCCTATCCTGGGGTTGACCTTGCCTAGGGTGGAACGGGAGCTGCACCCGAAAGGAACTACCACCCCCCTCAGGCCCCCGGAAGGACTGGCTCAGAGGGTATGGAGTTGGTCGGAAATCTGTCCATTGTGCTAGGGAAGGAAGGACCTTATGTTTTTCTTTGGTCTCGATGAGCAGCAGCTCCAGCGAGTCACCAAACAGCTGCTTTCCCGAAAAAGGGGCAGATGCCAGTCGCCACTTCTGCTTGGCATCTGCCTGCCAGTGATGGAGCCAGAGGAGCCTCCTGAAGGCCACAGAGGAAGCAATGGCCTTTGAGGCAAACCTTGCCGCAGCCAGGATGGCATCAGCTGAAAACTCTAAGGTGGCCGACAATTTATTGAGATCCTGATGGGCTCGCAAATCGGTCAGCAGAATCCTGTCCTGAAGCTGCCTCAGCCACAGCAACAAGGCTCGATTAAAGAAAGACGCTGCTGTTGAGGCCTTCACGGCCCACGCTGCCGACTGTTGTACCTTTTTGATGGACTGCTCCGCCCGTCTGTCCTTCGGCCAAAGGGCCTCCTCTAGGGTATCTGATAGGACCGCTGAAGACACCAGTGCTGAGGATTCACTGAGGGCAAATGACCTGCCAGACGAGCTGTACTGGAGGTCTTATATAGTAGTGACTTAAACAAATGAGGGTGAAAGAGCCCAACAACTGAGGGTTGATCAGGGGATAGTTCCTCATCCTCTGAGAGCTCAGGCTCCTCCTCCATGTCCTCCTGCACATCAGAGGCATCTGAAGAAGTAGGGGAATAAGCACCCCAAGAGTGGGTCAGGTCACCTAATAGCTGCCCTTTAAGGGGCACTTCTACAGGCTGAGAAACTTCAGAGCAAAGGGAAGCCTCCCTGCGGCTGTGGCTGTGTCTATGCTGCAGCCCCGCAGCTATGCCCCTCTCTATTGCTTCAGAAATAATGGTTTCCATATTATGTGGAAATTGACCTTGCTGATTATCCCCAGAGGGAATCTGCACAGAAGGCTGGGCCACTGGATTCCCAGCAGGCAATGGCTTGTGTTTAGGAGGCAGTTGCCATGCCACAGGGGCAGAAAAGAGATCAGGGAGGGAACTAGATGGAGCTCTGATGCTGGGCAGATTGCTGATTAAAGACTGCTCAGCAGCACCATCTGGCGACAAAGGCTGCATAAACCTGCTGTCAAAGTCCTCAGTAACCAACTGTCGCTCCTAAAAATGGCGGGAAGCACTTGCCGCCAAGCCCTGAGGGACATCTCTCCCAGAGTCAGAGGCCCTGGCAATCTCCTTTTCTAAAGCCCTCTGACGTCTGGCTGCGTCTTTTTCTGCAGCCTTTGAGGGCTTCGCTGCTCGCTGCGATCTTTTGGAGATCTTTGCGGCTGCCATCCTGCTGGCAGACCTCGAGCCTGAGGTCTCTGCCACGCCAGCAGTCCTCCTGGGGGCCTCTCTCTGCTCACCTTCCTTCTGCCAGGCAGCTCCGCTGCTGGTCCCAGGAGTCGCGTCCGCCATTTTCACGATCCGACGAACAGCTGGGATCAAAGGCTGCCTCCTATGCAGCCACGGAGGCTTCCAAGTGTACTCGCAAGTGAGCAGAGGCTCGGGAATCGGGCCCCTGGTCAGCCGATCACTAGAGGGGCGAAAACCAGCCGTCCACAACTGGCAAAGACTCACAGCAGTCCAGCGGCTTGCAAAGAGTTCGGGCTTCCTCTGACAGCCCAGCCGCTCTTTGGCTAGAAACAGAGCGCGGAGCGTCCCGCCAAGCCAGAATTCAAAGCCCTGCTGGAAAGGGCTCTAGGGTCAGCCTGAGTTGCTCTGTCAGACCCACTGGCCGATGGGCTGACTTGCTGCTGCGCAGCCTTCAGCGGCTCGTGCCAAGGCACTGCCCTCTGGAATAACAGCGACACACTATGCTCTAACACAGCTGTCACTCAACTAACCAAAAATAAAAGAAATAAAAATCAATCAATTTAGCCAAAGGCGTCCAGGAAAGAGAGACCTAGAAAAAAACACGCCTGTCCATAGCTAGGACTGAGACAAAGCTGGGGACCGTTGGTGGAGGCATGTCCTCACAACTTGACAGTCTCAGTCCCATTTGCTAGCATACAAGGACAACCCTTTCCTGGATGCTGCCACCACTACAATGGAGAAGGTGCTAGATTTCCGGAAGCACAGAGAGGAACCTGCCCCACTGTATATCAAGGGGGACCGAGTGGAGAAGGTTTCCTCTTTTAAATTCTTGGGAGTGCTCATTAGTCAAGATCTCACCTGGAAAAACAACATGTCCCTGGTGGATAGTAAAGCTCAAATGAGACTTCATTTCCTTAAGAGTCCTGCGGAAAAATCAGGTAAAACAATGGCTGATGACTTATTTCCATCGGTCTACGATAGAAAGTGTCCTCACATACTGTATAACAAACAGTATGGTATGCTGGTCTAACAGCTGAGGACAGGAAGGCACTAGAGAGAGTGATTAATTCAGCACAAGAAACCATCGGTTGCCCTCTACCACCACTAGATGACATCGCCAAGTCTCGCTGTTTCAGCAGAATAAGGAAGATACTTAGGGATGATTTACACCCTGGCCAGTGTCTCTTTTCACTTCTACCATCAGGCAGAAGACAATGAAGCATAGCCAGCCGGACAAACAGGTTTAAAAAAGAGCTTCTACCCATGGGCTGTCAGACTCTTAAACACAATCACAATCACTCCACACACATACGGAAACGTATGACTAGTCTTTTTTCCCCCAATTACTTGTATAGGGATTATTCTCTATACTATTTATGTTGTCTTATGTTTTCTGTTATGGACTGCACCAGAGAGGTATATATGATGTACAATGACAATGAAGGCTATACTCTACTGTGCACATTCCTATAGTGAAAATTCTGCCTACACTGGGAGATATGTAAATAGAAATCAACTTTCTTAGATTTTTCACTTTTCTCCTTTCAATTAAAGAAATAATGTTTTTTGTTATATAACTTGATAACAGATCACAGATAATTTCACAGACATTTTTAATTACCTAGAGTAAAATTTTCCTTGCTTAGCTTTTTGTTCATGGTGCATCCTCATGTTTTCTAATTTCACTGGACTTGGTATAAATCCTATTTCACAGCCTTCTTTTACCAATCGTCCTATCCACCAGTCATTGTTAAATTTCTGAAAAAAAGAATGTCAGAATTATTTTGTTGGTATTTGTCAGTATCGATGTATTTTATCAAGCAAGATCAATATATTCAGAAAACTCACTGAGCTCTATTTACTTCATGATTAAATGTGCACAGAATATAGCCTTATTTACATATGTACATTAAACTGTATATCAGCAATTGTACAACCAACATATTTTCAAACTTTTGAATTAAATTTGTCCATGAAATACAACACAGTGAATGGCACTAATAGATTTGTACATGGAATGTCTAGTTGCTGCATAATTCTGGGAATCGAAATCCACACATCTTAAACTTACTGAGGTTGAGGAACAGTGGTCTAGATCTTCATAAAATTATTTCAAATGCATTGGATTACTGCTATTTTGCTCCTTCCATTATTTTCCAAATAGTTTTTAAATTTTTCATCAGAAAAAAACTGTTACTTAATGTTTTCTGATTGGTAATGCTAAGACCCCTATTTCAGAAAGCACTAAGTCCAGTAGGTTATAATTTAGCAAGGAGTGTTATATTTTAACAATACTCAAACAGTAGAGCAGCAAAAAACCAAAGTCTTTTTCAAACTATTTTTCTGTCCATGTGTTGCTATCAATTTATGAAGAGACAATAATAAAAGAGAACTATATTTTATATAATCAGCTTGGACTCAATTCCAGCCTGTAAAAAAGGGGAAATTAACATATTGCAAAGAGCATAACATTATTTGTCCATAATACACAAATAGCTTCAGCTTTAGGAAAGGGCTAATTTTCATTTTTTCCTCATTCACTGTATGTAGTTGTATGACCTATTTGTATACTTTTATGCATATATTATACTTGTGTGTGTGAGAGAGAGAGAGGGAGTGTGTGTGTGTGTGTGTGTGTGTGTGTGAGAGAGAGAGAGAGAGAGAGAGAGAGAGAGAGAGAGAGAGAGAGAGAGGGAGGATGCATATTGTCTTAATAAATTTAAAAGTAGCTATGCAGAACTTAAATTTAAAATGCAAATTGCGCTAAATTTGTACAATAGCAGGGCTTAGTGATTAAAAAATAGAAAAAAATCTGTTAGCTACTTGCATTTTTTTAAATCTTACTAACGCCTTCTCTGTTGCTTTTTTTCAAAATTTGACCCATTTGTAATATTGGTGTAATGAAAAAGGAGATCAAAGATTTAAAGGGTTTAAGGCTTTCTCTTTTCTTTCTCACCATATACATATTCTCCCCTGCATCCATTCACTACATATGATTTATCTTCAAACACAAATATTTGCTGTTATTGTACATTCCTAAACTTCACTTCAGAAAAAAAGAATATATATTGTTCAGGATTTCACATTAATATTTACAGCTTTCACTTATGAAACAAAGCATCTAGAGTGGTTTAAGAACGTACATCCACCTAGTCCAGCAGTCTAGAGTGGCAAACTAATTGTCAATAAAGCTAATAGCAGGTTAGCCCCCTTTCGAAGTTAACAAAACTGGCAGACAATTACAAGATGTTGGGGGAAAAAAAACCTTTTATCTCTATTGATTCTTCCATACAATCTCATTGGGTAACCTCTGGTTCTAGTAATTTTAGAGGGAGAAAATAGCTTCTCCTTGTCCACTTTATCTATGCCATGATAATGTTATATATCTCAATCATCTCCCCTATCATTTTCACATTGAAAATCTCCAAATATTACAGCCTTTCCTCATAGAAAAGCTGCCCATTAAGCATCTTAGTTGCCCTTCTTTGACCATTCTCTAGTTGCTCTATATCCTTTTTAAAAATATACCATTTTATATATATATATCAAAACCACATGCAATATTCCAGATATTGGGGTTACACCAATGATTTATGTAAGGGCATTATGACATTGGCATATTATGATATTGGCATTAAATATATCCTCCTCTGCCTACTTAGCTTAATCATGTATTAGAGCTGAAAAAGGTTAAGGAAGATGGAAGCTTACTTCATTGAAAAAATATATACTCTACTTAAATAAATTAAATCCCATTATAATTAATCAACATTTTAAACATTTGTGCTATAATGACTATTGATAAACTAGTATATGGCCAAAATGAATTCATTTCTTTTCAGAAAGAATTAGAAAATCTTTGGAGCTAAGGTGTTACAGGAATTAACTACATTATGCAGTAGTTCCAGTGTACAGATAGCATGTTTCTATATTTGCAACTGATTCTCTATCATGATGCATGTTGTACAATGCTGAGAATCAAAATTAAAAAGTGCTTCATAAAGTGTGGTTGCAAACAAAGCAGCTCCTTGCAGTTTTTTAAAAAGTGCGCTTAAGCATCTTTTTAGAATTGAATTTGGAATATTGTACAGCTCTATCGCCTGTATCAGTGATGGCGAACCTGTGGCATGCAGAGCCATCTCTGTGGGAACACAAGCCGTTGTCCTCAGTCAGCTCCACCGCGCATGTGCCATATGCCATGTCCCGCCGGCCAGCTGATTTTCGGCTGGCTGCGCCCACGCTGTCCCTCCCCTCCCAGGAGTCTCCACGCAGCCCATTTTGGATGCCAGGTAAGTACAGAGCTCGCGTGGAGGCTCTGGGAAGGCAAAAACCGGATCTCCTGAAAGTCCCGGAAGTCCGGAAACAAGTTGTTTCCAGCCTCCGGAGGGCTAGGGGAGGCTGTTTTCACCCTCCCAGAGGCTCCAGGAAAGCCTGGGGAGGGTGAAAAACAGGCCTACCAGAAGTATGTGTGCTTTCGGTACCTAAGGAAAAAAGGTTAGCCATCACTGGCCTATATAGATTTGTGCTACTTAGTTGCTTCATGCTTAGGAATTGCTCTTGGAAGAGAATATTCAAGGAAGGTCCTGCTTAGGCTGTTCCTCTAGATTATGTTCTAACTCACAGAAAAAAATCACAGTGGAAACCCACCTCCAACTAATTATGTAACAGTTTTTGCAAACTTTGCGTTTTTGCCCTCAAAGATAGTCTTTTAAGGAAGATCTCAGAATTAAATGCACACCTCTAATAGACTCTAGTCCCAAAATCTTTCCTTCATTCACTTAAGTCCTCATCTTTGTGTGAAACAGCCTCAGATTTTAACCACTGCCATTGAGCTAGACATTCTGGTCCTTTCAACGAGCAGAATTCATGCCTTTATATCTAGTAATTATACCACTTATATTTCCTTTGTCTGGTCAATATTTCCTTTGAAATTGTCAGTGTTCAGGTTAAGATCTAATCTTTGTTTAGAAGATATCTCTACTTACAGCAAACAAATTGATAGGGTAGCACTTTCTCAAATGTAAATTATTCTATTTGCCTTTGAGATGTGGCTATTTTCTCAGATGATGGGGGAATTGAAATACATGAAGATACTATTTTAGAAATCCTAATTATAAATGTAAAAAGTCCAGGCTAGTGAAAGATTTTTGTGTGAAAGCATACTATATATTTTTTCATTTTCCCAAAAAATCTTTTTAAGATAAAGCAAGAAGGGTAACATTTCTCATTCTAATACTCAACATCTAATTTTATGTGTCACCAGAATCAGGGTCCCTTTGTAAACTATATTCTACCCTCATGGATAGATAGAACAGATTAATGGACAGTCTCAAATGTAAATTATTCTCTTGGGGACTTTCCCTCCATATTGCCAATTGTTTAATGTGTATGTAAAGAGAAGAGGCTTTTTGTGGGAAAAGACATCCCCATTTGTACATTTTCAGGGATATAGGAATAAATAAAACAACATTTTGAATCCAAAGCTGCATGTTTATCAAGCAGGAATTAAATATGTCTCATCAAGCAGTTGACACAACAGCAGTGATTATAGTGTCTTCCATCACTGTGTCATTATATCTTACTCTGCTTCACTGGATTGAGAATT